TTTAATAATAATTACTCTTCTGTTCTGATATTTTGTATCAGCATGAGTCATCATGCCAGTTTTATTGCCTTTACTATTTAGATTTAATGTTTTAAATTTCATTTTCATTCCTGTTTTCTCTCTTTTATGTAGGTTGGCATTCAAATTCTGCCTCTGGATGGAAACCCTCACAAGTCCTTTGCAATGATCTGTCACTCAACAGGCGTGTCAACTCTGGCTTGCTCATATGATGGTAGATATGCTTTTACTGCTGGAGGACAAGACTGCACCGTCTTTTCATGGGAGCTCAATTTGTCGTAAGTTTGGAGAACATGAGTCCCATGCAGAAGTCCACTGTTTTTTGCAGCTGACTACTCAACTAAGTTATAAAATATAATGCAGTTGTCGCTTAATTAATATGAGGTCATGAAATATATGTGTATAAATAATAGTACAGTTTAAAGGTGGGGAAAGCGATTTCTGGTAGCCAATGCTGACATTTGAAATCACCAAAACAAACACGCCCCTACCCCAAAAGGGTCTCGCCCCTGTTTTGATAGCTCCGTCCCACACATACGTATGCAACCCAGGCAACGATTAGTTCTGTGAAACAAAGCAAAACCAATGTTACGCCGTGTCTACACCGGACGCGAGTGGCGCAGCACGACAAAATACTATGGAACTCATTATAATCAGTGATGCTGTCTACACCATATATATATATATATACATATCTATGGTCTACACTGGATGCTGCACGACACGACACAACAAATCCCCGACAGAAAAGTGCTGCTGCGTTCTATTCATGACGTATTGACACAAATTTCAAATGATTCGAGTTTTCAACGAATCATCAGTGAAAGATTCAATTTCGTTCCTGAATGAACAGTATGTTTGAATGAACTGATTAGAGCGAATGATTCAATGACTTACTTGCCACCAACTGGCGTATTGAGTGAGAAATTAAGGACATTTTATTTATTTTTTTGTTGTCATCTTGTCCTATTTTAAACAGCACTGAATTTAATGAAATATTTTTTCAGTCTACTGAATTTAATGAAATATTTTTACAGTCTACTACTAGGGTTTCCTTTTTTTAATCTCTTGAAAAAACATTGATTCAAAATTAATTAACTAATTTAATATGCGTCTGATCGCAGACCTTCCGCTCCTTGAGTTATCTCCAGCGCTGGAAAGCTGATCCGATATTTACACTGGTCCTACTTCTTGCCTTATTGCCTTAAGCTTTCCTTTTGTTCCGCAGGCGGTTTTCTCTTTTGTTTTTTATCATCTCTATCTTTCTGTCACTCAGCTCGCTAATGTCTGTCCTGTGCAGTGTGCACTGAACGCTCTCTCCTCCACATCATGAGTAGACACGCCCCTTACTGCTGATTGGCTACAAGTTTGTTTTGCTAGTCGGCCCGAATCAGTTTTCTAAAGCATTTTTGAAAAATCGCTTATCCCACCTTTAATAGTAGTATAATAATGAATTTAAAATGTTCTTTTTAGGATTGTAACTGTATTTGCCACCTCACAATTCTGTTGTTATATTTGCATATATGCAGCTCATTGGAGGCATCAGCTGCTCTTGGAGGGAAAGACATGCTGCCCTTCTACAATCTTCTGGAGGGAGGGAGAGATGGACAGCTCTTCAGGGTTTGAGATCTCTGTTCTAATGCTTTCTTTTTTCTCATTGTCCTTTATGTATTTTTTTTTGCAGTTTTTCAGCATTTACCTCATTTCATCCTAATAATTAGTTTCATAATGCTCTCTTAACATGTTACCAGGCCTACCAATAGACAGCAAATCTTATGATTTGTCCTTTAGGAAATGGAGGAATATTTTTACTACTGTCAACTACAAAATCAGGACCTTGACACCATGGATACACGGCTTGTGTCCACATGCATACCTCTAGCTGATGTGCCCTTCTTAATGAGAGCGCTTGGCTTCCATCCAACAGAGCAAGAGGTACGAGTATTGTTGCAATCACAGTTGACTCTACCATACAGATCTGTCATCGATGGGTCGACTACCACTCAATCTTTTGTCAACACATGCTTGTTTTGTTTTGTTGAAGCTGGAAGACATGCAAAATGAGGTGAAGTTCAGCCGCTATGCTGAGACCAGAAATTACGTGACAGACATTGATTTGGAGGAGTTCATTAGGCTGTATGTCAACCACAGACCTGCCTCTGGCATTGCCAGACAGGAGCTGTGCAATGCCTTCCAGGTGCTTGGAAAGCCAGACGAAAGGGGCAGATATACAATTGACAGAGACGAACTGCTGGAGTTACTGCAGGCTAGAGGTAATACATTTTTATGAGCTTTACCAGTACTTTACATTTGGTAACTTGCAATATGACATACCAGAGAAATTATAATTAAAGGTGCAGTAGGAGATCTTGGAAAATGCTATCTTTAGCCTGATAGCACTAAAAGCGAACGTCCCACCCTCCCTGCAATCGCGCTCCAAAGCCACGCCCCCTGAACTTATATACACTCACAGACCAGAATACCAGAGACAACATTACTACAATAGGCTACATCAGCGGTTCTCAATTCCAGCCCATGTTCCGAAGTGAAGTAAACTTCAACGGATTTCCCCTGCTCAGGGAGTAGGGAGCAATGAACACTGTGTAGGGATCATATCGATCGGAACACAGTTCATGCACGTAGCTCAATTCTAACGAGCTGGTTATCTGAATCGGGTGTGTTAACTAAGCGAGACATGCAAAATATGCAGAGCGGGGGGGAGGTGCGAGGACTGGAATTGGAAACCACTGGGCTACATCATGTGTCATTCACCGGTGAGAAAACTTTAAAAGTACTACAATACCAGGAAGGAAGATCGGGGTGTTGAGGATGTTTGTCTGCCATTCTCGCTCTGTCTGCACAGCGTACGTGAATGCGCTGATGACGTATCCTGTCTGCGCGAACCGGGTGCGCAGAGGTATGCTTATACATACGTTGACAGGCAGGTAGGAAAGCCAATTAAAACGCTCGGACCGAGCGTTTTGATTGGACGAACATTTCTTGGTCCTACGCCTTCCACAGAATATATAAATACAGATAAATACATTTAGACCACTTAACTTAATGATTGCTATCGGGATGTGAAGAGACTTTCAACCAGCATAACAAAAAATGTTTCTGAAGACAATCACCTATTGCACCTTTAACAGAGAAAGACTAGAATAGTAATTACTTGTAATTCATTTCAGGTGAACATATGACCGATGATGACTTGGCTGAATGCTTTACAACACTTGTAGGTATTAGTGGAGAGGGAGCCAGTTGCACAGGTATGCAGAACTCCTGCGAACCACCATACTGATGGACAAATGTGAACTTGGACCACAAAACCAGTCATAAGGGTCAATTGTTTTGATGTTTCCCATTGATGTATGGTTTGTTAAGATAGGACACTTTTTGGCTAAGATACAACTATTTGAAAATCCGGAACCTGAGGATGCAAAAAATCTAAATATTGAGAAAATCGCCTTTAAAGTTGTCCAAATGAAGTTCTTAGCAATGCGTATTACGTTTTGATACATTTACGGTAGGAAATTTAAACATATCTTAATGGAACATGATCTTTACTTAATATCCTAATGATTTTTGGCATAAAAGAAAAATCGATAATTTTGACCCAATTTATTGTTGGTTGGCTATTGCTACAAATATACCTGTGCGACTTAAGACTGGTTTTGTGGTCCAGAGTCACAAATTTGATGGCTTACTGCCTGCATGTTAAGTCTGACATCACAGATCAGCCTTTCCAGGTCCCAAAAGCAAACAGTGCAAATATACACTCACAGTGTACTGTAGAACAACTGAAAAATCATGATCCTAACCTTTATCTCCATACTGAAATCTCAGTTGACCAGACAGTGATTCATTTTGAATATTGGTGTTTAGGACACCATGAGACATAACACTGTATTGTACACCGTTTATTAAATCAGATTAAAGATGTACTATAAATGAATAGTGCACTGTTGAGATAGTATTCTCACTTGGAAAGGAGTAGAAACTGATTTCAGGTTGGCTTTGGGTTTTTGAGTGTTCACATAAATGTGCATGATAGTGTAGCTTGTCTTCAATGTCATACTGTCATCTGCACTGTATGAACATCACCTTCTTAAGGTCAAGGAATGTTTGGCCAAAAAGATTCAAAGTGACTTTCAAAATGTACCAATCTTGACTACTGTGTCTGTCCCGTACAGAATCTCTATTTGAGAGCGTGCTGCCTCCTGAAATCAGCATGGAGACATTTGCCACAGATATCTTGGGGTTTTCTGCAGCAACCCAGGAACTTCATCAAGAACATGGGCACGATCTGTAACATCTGAAGCTTTCTGAAACAAATAATTGGAAACAAACATTTATTTGATTGCATAACAGTATTTTTGTGGTTACTAGGCTGTTCCTTCAGTGTATTTTCATATTTGCGTGTTTTTACTTTTCTGGAAGGCAGATGGAGATAAAATCATACGGAAATAAACGTTGTTGTTTGACGACATACTGTCGATTGTCGGTCTTCATTTTTTACAGATACGTGTGTAAATCGTGTGTGGATGTCGTAGTCATCGTTTCGATTTGATCGTCTCACTCAACAAACTGTTAAATATCGTTTTCTGTGCTCTGTTCGCTAGACAAAGTAGCCGCATTGACCGTGTCTCTCATGATTCCAGGGCATTTGGCTTCAGCGCAGGCGCACAAACCCCGCCTCTCTCCTGTGCTGTGTGCATTCGCATTGTGTCTAAACAGGCAGCGAGCAAAAATATATTTTACCAACAGCAGTAATGTCGGGCAGGTCGGTTCGAGCGGAGACGCGGAGCAGGGCGAAAGATGACATCAAGCGGGTTATGGCTGCAATTGAAAAAGTGCGGAAATGGTAAGAGAGCGTCGAGCCGTTAACAAACAGCACAGACAGCTTGTGGGGGAGGAGAGACAACGAGAAACAATGCAATGAAAGGAAAGAGCGTTTATTCCACTCCAATTTCAGTCAGATGCGCCGTTTCTTCGCGCGGCTGCTCTTTTTGTCGGCTTTTTACAAATTAGTTAGGAAAAATGTAGATTGCAGTTTTTTTTTCTTCCATTAAATTTTTATGTGGGTTGAACCTAGAAGCCATTTCGTTGCAGTCACATGAAGGCTTTGCTGTTTGAGCCTGTAATGCCGGCTGAATAGTAACCGAACGGGCTGACATGAGGAACTCGAGTCATGCATCCGTACCGAACTAAAAGTGCCGCTGAACGGTTGTTTGACTCGTTCATCTCATCTGAGAGCGAGTGACTCGCGCTCCTGAGCAACTGCGCGTGAGAAGAGTTTTCTCCACGCGCGGGGCTTTAAACTCAGCGCGGAGCTCGAGCTTCGCCTCCACTTTCACACTCTTAAACATTTTGCTTAAACTTTAGTGCAACTTAAATCACAATGCATTTGACAAGAAAAAGGTAATTAGATTAACTTTAACCTCAACAATAGTATCTTTCCCAACTTTGAAATACTAAAATGATTTTTAACATTGTATCAGTTTAAATTTAATTATGGTTACTAGTATTGTTCTACACAACCATTAGGTCTCCACTAAAGACTTGACCTCGCTTTAAAATGTGTATATTTATAGAAAAAACGTATAGATGTCTTGTTGATATCAGCGACAGTGCATATTCTGGAAATATTTTTTTTACACAATAAATAGAGATGCCTATAAATTGAAATGTTTAAATAATTAATCCCCTGTTAAACTCATTTGTTTTCGGTCTCCTTTGTCTTTGATATCTAACACTGGCATGCATCTCCAGGGAGAAGAAATGGGTGACTGTTGGAGACACATCACTGCGAATCTACAAGTGGGTACCAGTGACAGAGCCCAAGTCAGATGATGTAAGTCATCTTTAGCCACCAAAAATACACTTATTGCAATTTTAGTTGAAACCAGTTACCCAATATTTATTTTCATGTTATGGCCAATATAACCGATACATCTTTTTCAATCTCTTCTTCCCAAAAATGAATACAACAATACTAAAATAGGGATTATTGGCATTGATATATTGATACAATATTGTTTTGTTAAATATAATGATGTTTTTTTACTTTATTTTATATTAGTAAAGGTAAATTCATACTGTCATTGAGGTTACTAGTGCCATTTATTTGCTGGTGGCCCAGATCATTAAATATTTTAGATGTTGCATTGCACATACAAGGCAATATGTTCTACACTGTATCTTTTAGAAGTTAATTGGTTCATCAGTCTCCACATGGTTTAGCTGCAAAAACGTGATCTGCATTTGACAATGCACTTTTGTCACACAGAAGAGCAAGAAAAAGAAGAAAGGCAAAGATGACAAATACGGCTCTGAGGTCACGACCCCTGAGAACAGCTCTTCTCCGGGAATGATGGATATGCATGGTAATGCTGTAGACCTGACAGTTATCAGGCGCCAATCACACAATAATCCTCAGTCTATTTTAGGCTGCTACTTGGCAATTATAGTGGTTTATAAACCAAATTGTGAGCTTTGTGATTCCTAAACGGTTGATCTATTAGGGATTCCTGAAATATTTAAGTATGCCAGAAATTATCTGTAAATTCACATCAATTATGCATTTTGAAATTGTATTATTAGTGCTGTCAAACGATTAATCGCATCAAAAATAAAAGTTTTTGTTTACATGTGTGTACTGTTTATATTTATGTACATATAAATGCACACACATGCATGTATATATTTAATAATATTATAAAAATATGTTGCGTTTATATATTAAATATATTTATATACGATATAATTTATATGCATATAAATATATACATGTAAATATTTTCAAAATATATGCTGTATGTGTGTGTCTTTAGATGTACACATTATGTAAACAAAAACTTATTTTGGATGCGATTAATCGTTTGACAGCACTGATTATTATTATTAATGGCTTTCAATGGGCCATTATCCTTCTTAACCAATAGAGGGGGTTGTTGAAAGTTTTACTGCACATGAATTGATGTTGATTTGTTATTCTATCTTAAAATGTAACTATTAACAGTTATATGCTGCATGAAAGTTTTTTTTCAAGCATCTCTCAAATCATTTGTAACACCCTGTTAATCATGTTTCTTTTCTATATACAGATGATAACAGTAACCAGAGCTCCATTGCAGACTCCTCCCCACTGAAGCAAGAGACCAGCAACAACACTAGTCCTGCACCTGAGCCCATGGCAGCTTCTCAGAATGACAGCAATGACTTGAAAAGCGACCAATATCCTTCCAAACAGCCTTCATCTGTTCAGGATCATAAGAGTGGTTAGTGACTGCAATGAGGCCTCAAGGAGCTCATTATCCTCTTTTCTCTATCTGTGCTGTTGGATTTTAGGGGGTCTCTAATAGCACTTCTTTACTTTCAGAACAAAACCACTGCTTATCAGAATCTATAACAGCCAAAAGGGACAGCAAGTCACAGGGGGATTCAGAGCACTTTTTAGACTCTTCCAAATCAGCCCAGGTACATGCTTACAGCATCACTTGCATCAAAGTAAAAAAAAGTGTGTGTGTGTGTATATATATATATATATCAGCTGTGTTTTCTGCTTTATAACTGATTCAGTGGTTTCTTTTGAAGGATTTGGAAGATGGTGCTCCCCCAAGCAAAAAAGGGAAAACCGATTCTTCCTCTGAAGAAAGTTAACCATCTTCTCCCAGCTGTCAGGCATTTGCGATTCCCATCTCTTATCCTGAAACACATCACAACATAGGAGGTTTACTTCAGTTCTACACTCTTCCCTACTACCATCTATTCACTTTAATCCAGAAAACCCATCTCTTGCGGTCATTTTTAGTGTGGAGGGCATGTCGGGATCATCATTGTATGAGTAAGAGTACTGAATCAAGCTGTGAGATATTGTACTGATCCTAAAACAGTTCATGCTGCCCTACAATCACTACATGCTATTTCTTTTGCTAAGATCAGTATTGTCAATTGAAACGGCACTGGAACTGCCATAGTTTTTCCACATTGGCATTGATATCAACTGCCATTTGCGATTTTAAAAAATTTGTATCACTCACCTTTTCTTGTTCACTCAGGAAGGTCAACACACTGTTTTTTAAATCACGCTAAAAGTAACTGATTTCTGCTGCTGTAGTTTAGTGAGATTTCACCATAAGTAGCCAAGTATAAAAAAATGCAAATGGTACTAGTCACAAGTTATCCAACTTCTCCTGTGTAGACCATAGCTTGTAGCATAGGCCCTGCTTGGTTGAGTACATTTGTGTTACTGCGAAAAGGAATTATTATAGTTTTTTTTGTCGTCTGTCTACACAGTTCTCCAAGTGCCCACATTTTGGTTCTATGTCTTGCTTTCAAGTCAAGTAACCCACAACTGTTCATTTTAACTAATGTTCAAGTTAAACTGGTGTTCAAACCAAGCTTTGAAATGCTGGTTGCCATTTCAACAGCACTACAACCTTCCAACATACACAAGGGATACAATAATAGCATCACTTTGATACATGAAATTCACAAATTATGGTTTCTTTCAGCAGCAACTGTACTGACCGCATGTGTCGTCGTCCAAGGAAAAACGTGACATTGATTAGATTGTAACACAGGCAGGTTATGGGTAGACAGCTCTGTGAATACCTCATACTCAGTCCAGCAGTGCTGGAATGTAAACACTAAGTATGACTTTCTCGAAATTACTGTTACGTATGCTTGAAGAATAAAATGTATATATTTATACGATTACGTTTTTGCTACCCTTATGTTTTTGCCACAGTATTTCGCCAAACTATTGCCTTCTGTAGTTAAATCTTTGAAACCTTTGGCAAAATGTATTCATTGGGATCATATTGTTTTTTTTTCTTTCCCAGTCTATAATAGAAATGTCTTGTACAGAAGTATGGTTGTGTCTAACCTATTTATTCCACATGTAGTTTATTGGTTTTCTAAAAAACAAATAAAAGAAAATATTTCCTTTGAATGCTCTTGAAAGTGCATTTTGTTGCCAAATATCAAACCTGAATTTGCTTTGAATAGCAAAGATGAGTTTGAAGCTTGATTTTCTGAGATCACAGTACACATTTTACTAGACACGAGTTTAATGACAAATGAATCATAAAACACGAAGACTAAATCATAACATGAAGATGTGAAAAGAAAGTGAAACTGATACTGTAGTAAGCAAGAGTTGTCTGAGTGTGCTAAAACCCAACATGGATTCACTGCAGATGTGATAATGTGAGATATGCTCACTAGCTCTTCACACAGCTTTCACACATGTTGTGAAAGAAAAACTAACATGACCCACAGCAGTACCTGGTAAGATGCTAAAAGAACAATCACTCTATTTTAAAGCCAGTTTTCTGTCTGTTTTTCACTATGCGTCTGAAAGTGAGGTTGATGCGTGGCATTTTGACCTTTTTTCTGACTGGAAGACTGTGATACCAGTATGTGTTTGTGGGATAGTTCATGAGCAGTAGACTCCCGTGAGCCAGCTCCAGCTTCACAGGCTCAATCTGACGTTTGCTAGAACCAGTCCGTGCATCCTTATGACGGAAAATGAAGTCACGGGCAGCCCCTAGAGATACAGAGGCAATAGGGCAGGCAGGATCGAGTTCCCGTTCATCATCCCGATGCTCTCCAATGTGATCATGACCATCATTATATCTGATGGTGAAAACACAAACCAAAAACACTTTCCTCACTCTGAAAGAACATTATTTCTTTCAAAAGAAACAGGACAGTGATGTCTACATGTCAACAGCAGACAGTTTAATTACCTGTTTATCAAAACAAAGTTGAAGGTATGGCCTGTTGCCCTGGTAACAGCATCTCGAATGCGTTCCAAAGTGGAAGTCCATGGTTTTGCCATGAGATGGACTCCAGAGAAAGAGTACATCAGTCCTTCGTCGCCGTATGTTGCTTGCTTCCTTGGAACACTGTATGACCTTCCATACACTTGTAGTTTAGCTTTGTCACCTTTGTCACCGAGAAAAAGGAATGGAAACAAAACATTTCAATCACCATCCAAACAACAGGATACAGTGTTATATTAATATGGCTCACAGCAAATTATACAAGTATAATAATGAAGTTGGATTGTTTAATAAGATAATACATTATGTATGTTTCCTGTAGCTGTAAAACCAATATACATATTCTAAAGTTTGGTGTCAGTAAGTATTTTTTATTTTTTATACATTTATACTTTTGCTCAGCAAGGTCACATTAATTGATTAATTGAACATAGACGTATAGTGTTACAAAGTATTTCTATTTCAAATAAATGCTTTATCAACGAATCCTAAAAAAAAAATACATAATTTGCACAAAAATATTAGCAGCACAACTGTTTTCATCTTTGATAATAATAAATGATTCTTGATCACCAAATCGTCTAATTAGAATGTTTTATGAAGGATCACGTGACACTGAAGTGTCATCCTGTCAAAACACAGGAATAAGTAACACTTTAAAATATATTAAAATAGACTCCGATTCTTTTAAATTGTAATAATTCACAATATTACTGTTTTATTGTAGTTTGATCAAATAAACGCAACCTTGGTGACCATAAGAGATTTCTTTCAAGAACATTAGAAAATCTTACTGATCCCAATCTTCCGAACAGCAGTGTCCATGATACAAAGGTGCCTTCAATACCTGTAAAATACTCCACCTCCTCTTCTAGCTGGTTAAAAAGGTGATCAGCCTCCTCTTTGTCAAACAGCAAACTGTAGTCACAGTCCAATCCCTCTGCCTCAATCTTCTTCCAGGGGATGGGCTGAGAAAACTCCTCTTCCACCTCACATTCCTCTTTGTATTTCTTGAACGGTTCCTCTGTTTTACATTCATCTGCCTCAACAGCAGATCTTTTTCTGTCATCCTGTCAAAACACAGGAATAAGTAACACTTTAAAATATATTAAAATAGACTCCGATTCTTTTAAATTGTAATAATTCACAATATTACTGTTTTATTGTAGTTTGATCAAATAAACGCAACCTTGGTGACCATAAGAGATTTCTTTCAAGAACATTAGAAAATCGTACTGATCCCAATCTTCCGAACAGCAGTGTCCATGATACAAAGGTGCCTTCAATACCTGTAAAATACTCCACCTCCTCTTCTAGCTGGTTAAAAAGGTGATCAGCCTCCTCTTTGTCAAACAGCAAACTGTAGTCACAGTCCAATCCCTCTGCCTCAATCTTCTTCCAGGGGATGGGCTGAGAAAACTCCTCTTCCACCTCACATTCCTCTTTGTATTTCTTGAACGGTTCCTCTGTTTTACATTCATCTGCCTCAACAGCAGATCTTTTTCTGTACCGAGTTACAAACTTATCCATCTATTATACACCTGTAAAACAAAACAAAAAAAACTCACTTTTCAGACTGCCTGGTTCTATTTTCTAAACCACTTTTAAATGTCAGCTTCATTGAGCCACAATTAACAGTTTATATTAACTAATTAACCTTAAACAGGTACGGTACCCACATCTACATATCATGCACATTTTTACAGTGTTTTACAAACCATGAGCAGTGTTGCCAACTTAGCAATTTTGTTGCTAAATTTAGCAACTTTTCAGACTACCCTAGCAACCTAATATTAACTAATTAACCTTAAACAGGTACGGTACCCACATCTACATATCATGCACATTTTTACAGTGTTTTACAAACCATGAGCAGTGTTGCCAACTTAGCAATTTTGTTGCTAAATTTAGCAACTTTTCAGACTACCCTAGCAACCTTTTCTTCCAAAAGCACCTAGCAACAAATTGAGCAATTTTAAACATTTATTTGGCAACTTTTAGCAACTTTTGATAAGGACTCGGACAATAAAAAGGCACACATTGTCCATCCAAATTACACAAAAAGAGGAAACCACAGATGCCTAGCAGTACACACATCACATGAATTGAGTTAGGTGCTATTTGGAATTGTTCAATTTAATAATAATAATTGAATAATTTGATAATTGAATAATTGTTTATTTATGATACACTTTGTTAGTAGCTTGTACCTGCGATTGTTGATCAGTTAGTATACTGTAAAAAAAAAGGAAAATCTTTCAGGATATTATCCATTATCCACTGTAACCCGAAAACACAATGCGTAATTTAAAATACAGGTAAAAAAAAACATTACGGAAGAATTCAATGTATTTAAAAATACAGTTATTTATATTTGAATATTATATATTAAATAATAAATCTAAATTAATAATATATAAAATATCTTTTTTGCTGAGGTTTGATGATGTGACAATTTTGCGTCGTGATTACGCAATGACATCACAACGTCATTTAGCAACTTTTAGCAACAAATCGACCTTCCTTTAGCAACTTTCTCTGAAAATTAGTTGGCAACACTGACCATGAGTAGTGCATATGGTCACCAATGTTTTGGTGGTTGTTAGTAACACGTGAAAAGCGGCAGCACAGCCCGGTTCTTCGTTTATGCACGTGCATTATCTTACTGAAACTTTGGGGAAACATTCAGTATGGTCTCTTACCTCGGTTGCGTTTATGGTGTGATAAATCACCCACGCTACATAGCTTAACGTTCAAATTCTGTCCCAATTTTGTTTTATTTCCAGCAGTCGCGCGGGTGGCACACCTCCGGAAATGTTCGTCCATGGCACTACCGATGTCACGTGATATACAGTACTTTACTTTTCGATGGTGACACTGTACAAGCGCGTCTGGTGTAACAGTGAGTAATTAGGAAAACCATGTAAACAAGCATCATGCTGCCTGTCAGGGTAAATACTGAGCCCAAACAGGCACGTATTAAGATTACACGGACGTTTTAAGTTTAACATTGCATTTGAACGTATTCAGGGTAAGAATAAGAATAGCTACAGTAAATTAAGGAGGTAAATTATTCGTTAATTATTAAGCGTAACAGTTATCAAATTGTGATAACTATTCAGAACTGTGGACACCCCATCACTACTAAACAGAGTTTGCAAAGAGGACCATTTCAAAAGTGCAACATTTTATTCACTGTTGTGAAGAAGACAAAAATGTTAGTCAAATATAGGCTACTGGAGGACTACAAAGACTTTGTCACCCTAAAGGTTTTGCCATTCTAAATGGTCGCAGATCATTCCATTCTAACAGATTATTTTCAGTTCATGTGTGTTACCTGAATAAGGCTGAAATGGTTAAATGTATTTATTTCATTAATCCACCTAAGTTAGTACTGTGCAAAAAGAAAAAAAAAGACAATGAATGAAAAACAGAGAATGAGGAATAAAGAACTTTAGTCATGTCTTCTTAGCAGACTACTCCACATTTTCATAATCACTGTCCGTGCAGTTTGCATACGTCTCGTCTGCTTGTGCTGCACTGTTCATATAAATTGCAACCTTATTTTCAGGCCTATTGATGTAAACTGAAGAAAACTGTCCTGAAAAAAGTAAATACTTATATAATAATAATAATAATTAAAGTAATTCAGCTTTTATTCATTACTTATTTATATTTTTAAATTATATACTCACTTTTTCCTTTGGAGACGTTTTTTCTGAACTCATGATCGTTCTCTGTAGCAGAAAGGGAATAACTACAATGTCTTCATGTTTTACTTATAGCATTTTTAGACATTAATGTGGTCTGTACATCAAATATTAGTATTATAACCTACTATTTGTGTAAAACAAGAAATACTCATTAAACCTACCATAGATTGTTTGATCTTTGTTGGCATCTCGAACTGTCATCGCAATGAAAGAAAGGAAATGTTTGAAACAGGATCTTTTCAAACTTGAAACAGACTTGATTCATGAGACTGTGTGTTCTTGAAAATGGTCTCATGCGTCACAGCTGTGAGGCGATTGCTGTGAATATAAATAAAGTGCTTACCCTGCTGGCTGTTTGCATAATATGGTTGATCTAATGTTTCTGGAAAAAAATAAAAGAGATTAAGTTACTTTACTGAGTATGCAAATCTTGCATATTTATAATTGATTCATAATTGATTTAATATACTTACTATTTCGTTTATGAACAATGCAACACACCGTGACCACAAGAAGAAGAATAGTTGCTCCTCCTGCTACGAAGGGCCAGAAAGACATCACTGTGTCCTATGAGCTTTCTGATTCACCTTGTACAAATTCTTCTGCCTTTCAGCCAGAACAATTATAACATGCAAAAAGAAAAACAGACAGTATGTCTAATTTTAACTGGAGATATGGTGCAATTTTATAATTAAATAGTATAAGTATTTAAAAAGTTTAAGTGTCAGGACACAATAAAATATACAAAACTACAGTATATGTCTTTGAACATGTGGACATTTTTATGTTTTTACTCACGTGTGAATTCCAGTATCCTCGTGCTATAGTTAAAGTCTTCAACAGTTCACAGTTTTACAGGCCCATATGCCACTGCTACACATTATAGAGGAGGATAGAGCAGTTTAGAGTCATATAATTGGAGAAGGTCTTCTTCTGTTATCCTAAACCTTTACTTCACCTTTTAGACTGTTCTCTAAAAATAGACACAGCTGCACTGGTGTGACATCTCTGCTGTGCCGTCTGGTCTGAAAAGAGCCATTTCAAAGAATCAAGAGAGCGTCTCTTTGCTCAAACCTGAGAAACCACAACAGTAAACAAATGAGATTCACAAGTTTCCATCTGCACTTCACAGGTCGATCAAATGTTGCACCGTGGTGATGTTTGCTGAGCGTCCTGCAGTTTTACAATTTTCATAAGCAAACTTTAAATAATGATATGCTGCTCAGACTGGGAATATAATGTCTTTTTATAGAATTTTATATTTAATTAGAAAATCCTCAAAATGATTGTTAACGGAAACCACAACACACTGTTACATTCTGCTTGCTTGCAACATGAAAGTTAGAGTTAACTCAAACTGTCTGATTAACCAAAAATAAACCTTACCATTTAGAGATGAAACATGCAGAGTAAAAATACCCACAGTTCAACACAGAAAGAAAGAATGGATCATTTGTTTTTAGACAAACATCAGGAGCGTATGCTGTAAGCCTTGAAACAGTTCACTCTGCTTTGTGTAGGGGAAAGAGGCTGTTGGACAAGTGTCTTCTGCCGTCATTTCCTGCTAGCTTTACCTAAATGGCCAGTGTCCAGAAGACAGTTACTGTGCTCAGGTATGTGTTTGTATGAACTTAACGATCTTTGCTATCACAAAAAACCCACTAATTTATATTAAGGTGGCTTTTTGAATTAAACTTCAAGATGTTCAGTTTTTTACTAGACTGAAAGAAATAAGATATTGTTAATATCATTTACTTCTTACTCGGCTATTTTGCTTTAATCATTTACTATCTTTAGGAATAAATCTTTTTAAATCAAGTCAAGTCACCTTTATGCACCCTCTATTTATATAGCGCTTTATACAATACAGATTGTGTCAAAACAGCTTTACAGTGTTAAACAGGAAATACAATGTTTAAATAATGCAAAAAAAAACAGTTCTGCTGTAAAGCAGCTCTAAAAAGAGGACAATAGTAAACTAGCAACACCCGCTGAGTGGCATTAAACAGCTTGAAATAGTAAAAATAGTAAAAAGTTCACTCAGTAAATCTGCTCTTTATTAACAATAAATTATTAGATTTTTAATATGACAAGTTATTAATGGCAATGTTAAATCATGTAAGTTAATATAAGTTAAAGGACCACAGTTCTGATGGAGATGATTAAAGAGCTACGGAGGTACATATTTGTGTCTGTCTTTAATTTCAAAAAAGGTCTCACTGCCCTCTAGTGGCATCACAGATGAAGATACTAAAGTGAGCCCAAATGGAGACATTTCTTATTTCTCCACGAGCAGTAACAGTCATCCCTCCACCAGAAATAATCTTCTGAACGGTGTATGTTTTGAATATGTTTGGCTTTGATTTTTACATTTGTATATGTAAAACCCGGACACAAAGTCTGATCCATCACAATCATTCTCAGTTCTCTTGATGTAATGTATAATGAATTGCACATATTTATTGATGTTCCACATTATTGCAGTTGTGAATTTTAACTATAGATTGGATTGCTGAGTGACACTCCTATAGAAAAAAAGAGAAAAAGAAAAACAAAGCTTTAATAAAACGTATTTTATCTTCTATTTTAACTTCCCCTTCTTCTGGCTGTTAAATAAATAGCCTAATGAAAATCACTAAATAACATTAATCAGTTTGATAGATACTATATAAGTACAAACTAATATGTTTTCATCAAAGTTAGTTTCCAAGTTATCAACAAACATATTTACTCAAGAAGGACATGTGACAATACTGCTGATATGATTTCATCTATAGTCACAAATGTAAGATCATACTTACTGTTTTCATTAGTGAACTTTGCTCTGTTTATTTTATCTTCTATTTTAACTTCCCCTTCTTCTGGCTGTTAAATAAATAGCCTAATGAAAATCACTAAATAACATTAATCAGTTTGATAGATACTATATAAGTACAAACTAATATGTTTTCATCAAAGTTAGTTTCCAAGTTATCAACAAACATCTACATATTTTTCATTACTCAAGAAGGACATGTGACAATAGTGCTGATATGATTTCATCTATAGTCACAAATGTAAGATCATACTTACTGTTTTCATTAGTGAACTTTGCTCTGTTAGGGAACTTTGTTTGGGAGGTGTTCTCTGCAAAGATTTAATAGAAACATACTTGACTATAGTCTTTGACAAAGTTTAGTGTACAAGTAAAGTCAAACTGTAGAGCTTTCAAACAAAAACAGTTATAATGAGCTGAAAACCTACCATAGACAGGCTCACAGATGTTATTTTCTTGACCTGTAACACCATAGTTCAATGATTAAGAAACAGAGCATTTATGTGCTTGTTTGTTGAAAGCAGCATAGAAAACCAAGTTAATAATACGTCATGCCATAAATCTTTATATCGGTTACATTTCTGTCCAGCTGCACAGATTAACTGTGCCAATAATTATGTATGTATATTTACAAATGATTTACATCAATATCTAGTGTTAAAGATAATTAACTTTTAAAGAAGAGCTGATTTCAAGAAACGTAAAGATAAACAGAATTCTAGTTCTGAAATGGTACTTACGTTTGAAGAATTTACATGCAACAACAAGAAGCACAAGTAGCACTACTAGCAGTGCTGCTCCTCCTCCTGCTCCAGTTGGGATCAGCCAAGTCAGAGAATCCACTGAAACAACAGCTGGTTCTGAAGAATGTTCATTCATGTTAGGCAATGACAGTCAGATTTTAAGGCACATTTCAAGCAGTAGATGCACATTAAGACTTTAACCAGCAATATTCTCATTTATATTCATATTACATTTATATTACATTTAATCATTAAGCAGACACTTATCCAAAGCGACTTGATGAGGAAAATAGAAGCAATGAAACCAACAAAAAAGCAATAATATATAACTGCTGTGACAAGTCCCGGATAGTCTAATGCAGTACACAAGGTTTATTTAATTATTTATTATAATAAATAAAATAATAAAAAGTATATAGAATAGACAGATGTGGATAGTAATGAAGTACATTTACTTGATTACTTAAGTACGCTTTTTGAGTATCTGCACTGAGTATTTTTTTGGGGGGAAACGTATGACTTTAACTTCACTACATTTGAAAGACGAATATTGTACTTTTCACTCCACTACTATAAGTAATCACTCTTGTAGGGCTACATGAAGTGATTTCCCAGCATTTTTGAACACGGGCCAGTTGCAAATGTGATATTTATTTACAACAACTCGATACTAAGAAGTTAATATTGTGATATATATTAGACACCATATTGTCTGATTTTGCAA